GAGGTTTCAGAAGCTCACACCCAGGCCCCGGCCCAGCCCCAGGCTCAGTCAGTCCCTCTCTCTCTGCCGGTGTATCATGATGTAGCTCTCAGCTCCAGTGCCGCGTGTGCTGCCATGCTCACGGCCACAATGATAACGATAATGGACTAAACCTCTGAAACCATAAGCAAGCCCTCAGTTGAACTGTCTTGGTCATGACGTTGACATCTCTTCACAGCAATAGAACGTGCGCTAGGACTCCCTCCTTTGGGTGGGAATTCTGTCCTGTTTCCTGGAGGTCATCTGTTGACGTTTCTCTCATCCCTCAAGCCTTTAGCTTTCTCCTATCTGTGGCACCCAGTTTTACACACTCTCCCTCAGTTCTCTGACGGTTCAACCTTCCATCCCTGCCCAGCTCCTCCTTCTACAGCCTCAGATAACCCAGAGCCTCACAAGCCCTTTCTTAGCCTTTTATTTCCAGGCCCTAATGCCACAATTGTTATGTAATAGAAAATACTCGGAAACATAAAATTTATTTCTACTTCTGTAAGCTGGGTGTGGTGGTGCTCACCTTAAATCCCAGCCCTTGGGAGGCAGAGGCAGGCAGATCTTTATGAGTTCTACTTTTAAATTTAAAAGAAATACAGAAAAAAAAAGTGAGATGTGTTTATGACAGGAGAGAGGAGAGAGGGAAGTAGAAAGAGAAAGAGGGGTTGTGAGGGAAGGAGAGAGAGAGAGAGAGAGAGAGAGAGAGAGAGAGAGAGAGAGAGAGAGAGGAGGAGAGGAGAGAAAGAAAGAGAGAGGAGAAAGAGGGGGGGGGGGACAGAGGAAGAGGGAGAGGGAGAAAGAGAGAAGACCCCAGCTGTTGCCGAGGCTGCATGCTTACTGCTGATAGAATGCAAACTGGCACAGCCCCTGGGAACATAGTTGGGTTTCCGGAGAGTGGAGCCTTCATCATTTCTACCTGGTAGTGGCCTCTGGTGTCAGGGTCATCCTCCCTCAGCTCCCTCTAGTTTAAGCAGTTCTTTCAGAGGACCTGGGTTCAATTCCCAGCACCCACATCTGGCAGTTCCTACCTGCCTATAATTCCAGCTCCAGGGGATCTGGCATTTTTAAGGCTTCTGGAGGAACACACACACACACACACACACACACACACACACACACAGGCTCACATGCACATGCACAGGTACACACACAGAGACAGACAGATACATGCAGATACACATGATCTGTGCACACACAGACACAGATACACAGACACACACACATGCAGACACACATATACGTGGCAAGTGAACACACAAACACACAAAGACTCATATTTAAAAATAAAGCAAAAATTCTTTCTTTCTTTTTTTTTTTTTTTGAGACAAGGTTTCTCTGTCCTAGAACTCATTCTGTAGACCAGACTGGCTTCAAACTCTCAGAGATCCACCTGCCTCTGCCTCCCGAGGGTTGGGGTCAAAGGTGTGGGCCAACACTGCCGAGCATAAATAAAGTAAATCTTAACAAAAGCAGAAGAAAAGAAAAAAGAAATTTAATCCCAGCACGAAGGAAGCGGAGCTAGGTAGGTCTTTGAGAGTTTAAGAACAGCCTGGTCTACATGGTGAGTTTAGTACAATCAGGGCTACATAGAGACACTCTTTTCTCAATAGATAGATAGATTTCACATTGTATATATTAATTGTGGAACAAGGAAAATACAGAAAGCAAAGGCAGAATGTTGGGAGGAGCCGGCAGCAGGAGCCTTCCGCCAGGCCCTGCATTGTTTTCCTGTTTGATGTCACAGAATGCCACTTTGAAACAGCCTTTGAAAATACTACCTCTGTCCATCTTAAGACTCTTAAAATAGCAACTTGGCTGTGGCCAAGTCTGGAAAACACTCTATTTGTGATGAAGGTTAATGTCACTGGTAGCTATCACCTGCCCCAGTAGGACGTGACAGAAGACACTTCCCCTCAGTGACACTCGGAAAAACGCCTGAATGCAGGAAGAAGCCATTAGAGAAACCTCAGCTGGTAAACACTCTACAGGAATATGGGTACCCCTCAAAAACTGCCAAGGTCATGAGAAACAAGGAATGACTAGGACATTTTAGAACAGGAGATGACAGATCCAAGGGCACTCTGGTGTCCAAGCTGGAGCCTGAGACCCAAAGGTCACAGGGGATTCAGAGCTGAGCAGACAGCCCTACACTGTGGCTGGCTGCTGAGCTGTAAGGAATGTTCCTTGATAACACACAGTGTAAATAAGCAGGAGGGCAGGCAAGGCGTGCATGGAGCGTCTAGAAATATATACATTTGCACCTTTTCTTTTCCAAGCTAGAAATTACACTGAAATAAATAAGCTTTTAGGACAAACATTATCCTTAGGTTCCATACTTTAACAAAAAGTATTTTTTGAATGCTTCTAAAAAATGGCTTAGAAATATCTAAAGTAGGAATTTAGACACATAAATCCACAATAGTAATGTGAGATTGACATGGGGTATTTTTAACCCATGACAATATTTAAAACACTGAGGACTGGAGATGTGGCTCAGTGGGCAGAGAGCTTGCCCAGCATGCTTGAAACCCCAGCTCCATCCCTAGCACTGCATAAACCGTAGTGCGGATCCACACCTGTGATCCCAGCATCCTGGAAGTTAGAAGATTAAGGTTACCATTGGCTACTTTCTGATTTCTAGGCCAGCCTGAGATTTATGAGGCCCTGTCTCAAAGAACCAAAACAAATCAAGCCAAAATCCATAAGAGAGAGAAAGAAATTGATATATCAATTAGATGAAAGATATTTTCAAATATTGCTTCTGTTCTCACATTTCAGTATGCCTTCCTGTTCTCTTCAGAAGAAGGGAGGTGGAGGTGGCTTCCCAGAATCCCTTGCAACTGGTATTTTATTTGTTCATATCTATTTAATTCGGGATAGGGTCTTATACATCCAGGCTGGCCTCTGAACTCGAAGGCAGAGGACTATCCTGGGTAGCCTTCACATTTTTCTTTTCTCTTCCTTTCTTTCTTTCTTCCCCCTCCCCCTCAGCCCTCCTCTTCTTCTTCAACTAAGTAGCTTTGGCTGTCTTGGAACCTACTATATAGCCTCAGGTTGACCTCTAACTCACAGAGATTCACCTGCCTCTGCCTCCTGAGGGCTAGGATTAAAGGTGTGGGCCACTATGCCCAATAAATGCAAAAATTAAAAAATATACAAAAACTAAAAACTTGGTGGAGGGGGAAAATAGTAAATAAAATCATCGCATGCGGGATCAATAACTATTTAATTAATCATAAATTATAATATATAATCAACAACTAATTATACTATTAATAATAAATATAAATAACTATTACTAATAAATTAAAGAATTATTAAGTACCATATCACTTGGTTTTTAAAATTTAAGAACCAAGTGCTATGGGCATGGAAGTGTCACCCACAGTTATGAAATCAGGCAAACTAAATAGACCACAAAGAAAAACCCCAAAGTTCCCCAGAGTAGAGGGTTGAGAAATGAGAGGAAGTTTAAACTTTTCTGTTTCTAGACGTTCTATTGGACTAGAAGGCACACATGTGTCTAGATATATTGTATTCCAGACAATATTAAAATATCTAATTAGGAAAAATAATCAGATTTGAGTTTAACAATCCCCAGGGGTTTCAGGCACCTCCTCCACTCTGTTTACGTTCTCAGGCAGCTTTCAGCATCCAGGGGGCCTGGGACTGCTCTGCCCACGCACCCCTCACCACGCCCCGCCCACGCACCCCTCACCACGCCCCACTCCGTCGCGTGGAGGCAGAATGATTGGCACTTCCACCCAGAAGCCCTCGGCAAGGAGCGAGCGCCTCCTGCTGGACAAGAACGCCAGCAACCCTAGGGAGCCATTGCTGTGCACCACCAGGCCCCGCCTCCCACCCCCATACCGGTCAGGGATCAAGGACCATCTCCCCCGCATCACATGCTCCTTTCCTCACCCTCTGTCCCCCAAGAGTAGAAGGAGAAGGAGTTGTAGCATCTCAGGAGTAAGCAGTTGGAGTTTTAGGCCTGAGATCCTAGGGCGTTCAGAGACTGGCTTGATTCAGGATGTGGTCTATAGGAGTGGGGTTTCTGCTCCGTGTGGAGTAGAGCTGGGCTTTGCATTTCTAAGAGAATCTCCTCTTTTCTGCTCTCTCTGTGCTCTTGGGCAGTCTCTGAATCAGCTAGGATGAAGCGAGATACCTCATTTCACAGTGTCAGTGATAAGTAGTGACTTTTACCCTATTCTATTTAAGTAAAAGCTCTGGGAAAGCTCAGAGGGACTGGCCCTATCTAGACAGCTTCCCTTCCGCGGGGCGGGCAGAGATGGGCGGGGCCCGGAAGGGGAGCATTTCTAGGAGGTGAGGTTGCCAGCTAGGGAGGACTGCTCAGTGAGGCTTTCCTTGAGACCGCCCTCTTTTCCACATAGGCCTGTTGACCAGCTTTTGTCCAGGGCTGGTGGACATAGGACCTTTTCTAGGTTCCAGAACTCTGTGATTTCTTGGCTACCAGAAGCTCCAGAAGTCTTTGTGATACATCACTGGACATCCCAAATACAGTATTGGTCTGTACAGAGGGGCCAGCAGAGATGGAAGGGGTCAGCAGCCCTAGCCTTAGACAAGCCACCACTGCCGAAGGAATACGTTCCCCAGAGGGTGATGGAAGAGTCCCTATACTCACCAAAGAGGGGCTCAGTGAAAAGGGCCAGTGTGTCATCTGTCCCGAGGAGGAGGAAAAGGAGGAGGAGGAAAAGGAGGAGGAGGAGGAAGAGAAGGAGGAGGAGGAGGAGGAAGAGGAGGAGGAGGAGGAGGAGGAGGAAGAGGAGTCAGGCTTTTCCCTGAGGCTTGGTCAGACACCTGATGGGGACTGCAAGCAAACACAAGACCCTCCGGAGAGTGCTTCTCCAGAGGCCTTGGCAGGTCCCCAAAGGCTTCTTTGCTCTAAGGACCTTGAGCCTGGAGAGCCAGGTGGCAGTTGGGCACAATGTGCTCCAGAAGCTGAGGTTGAGAACATGTTCTTTTCTAAGGATGTGGTTCCGCCAGACAGCCTCGATCACCTTTTTGAATTCCCAGGGCTCTTTGATGGTGAGCCCCTTAGTCTAGTCACCCAGGATCCTCCCCAGAGTCCAGCACTCTACCCAGAGATGCTGACTGGGGATTCTACAGAGCAGCAGAAAGCGCAGCCTGCATTTGTGGTTGGCAGCCCTGGCACTCCACCTGAAACAGAGGGGTCAGACGACAAGGCCCAGCCAGGGTCCAGGATGGAGCTGGAGCAAGAACTTACTGCTTCAGCTGATTCCCGGGCCAGCTCCCCAGAACCCTTGGGTGGGCTCAATGATGCACCCCTGGAGCAGAGAAGCCCTACACATGTGAAGAAGCAGCCTTGGGCAAGTTCAGATGACTCTAGCCAGAATCACCCAGAGGAACCCAGGAAAAATGATTGCCCCAGACTGGTAAGTCGAAGCCGAGTTTAGGATGGGATGGCTCCCACTTGTCTCCTCCAGGGCATGGAACTTGACAGAGGTAAATGTCAGCGTCTCTTAGTAAGCATCTTCTCTTGTACTTGTTCTGTTTGGTTTGCTTGGAACTGAACCCAAAGGCTCATGCTCACTAAGCAGACACTCTCTGACTCAACTATAGCCCCTAAACCCCTTTTATTTTGATATAGGGATCTCACTAAGTTGCCTAGGCTGGTTTTGAACTCGCTGTAGCCTACAGTAGCTTTGACCTTTTGATTCTAATGCTGCTGGTTCTTAGTCTCTGGGACTACAGATGTGTGCTTACTAAGCCCAGCTTCCCAGATTCTGTAAGTTGAAATTCTGGAGTCAGGAAAGGAAAAATCAACTACATTCCTGAGTTTCTGTGAAGGCCCATTATCTGTTAGAGGCAGCAAGTCCTGGGTTCTAATCTTGCTAGAGCCTGCTTCCTAGAGGAATTGGCTCCCACTATTCTGTAATAACTTTTCTCTTATTTAATAAGAAATTGATAATATATACAACAAGCTGTGTGAGATTACAAACACCTTTGATTCCAGTAGTCTGAGGTAGAGGCAGGCCAAAGGTGGATCTCTGTGAATTTGAAGTCATTCTGGTCTACAGAGCGAGTTCCAGGCCAGCCAGGACTTCCTAGTGAGATCCTGTCTGAAATAAAAAGGACACACACATCCCTCTTTAATGGGGTGATGAGACAGGACATGAAATAATGCGTCCAGCATAAGAGGGGAGGGAAATCACTCCATTTCCTATTATGTTTGCTTTTTTCATAGTCGTAGTAATAGTCCCGCAAGACAGGAATTACCCCACTTTACTAGATGGGGAAACTGAGGCTCAGGGGAATTAACAGACTTCCCCGGGTTCACATGGGGATGGAGTCGGGGCTTAGCCATGTTCTCTCTAGTCACTATTTCTCTTTGCACTCATTGTCTGTTTAATTATGATACTAACCTTGTTAATAATCATATCTAATGTCTACAAGCAGGGTTGGAAGATGATACTTATTTATCCCACATACTCAATTGGTTTTTATATTTATTGAGCATGTATTATGTGCTAGGTGCTTTTGATATAATTATCTGAAGCATAGAAAAGGAAATGACAGCCAGGTCCCAAACCCAGGTAGTTTGTCTTGTGTACTTGTGCGTTCGATGTCACCGGCTAGCTTGTTCAACATGCTGGGTGCTGAGTGTGTTATCTGAGATCTTTGTAACAACCTCTGAGGTAGACACTGGTGGTATACCCATTGCACTGATTTGGTCACAGAGGCTCTAAGAGGTAAAATGACCAGTCAGGGTCAAAGAACTCATTAGTAACATTGAGACAGGAGACAATGAGCTGCCTGTGCATTTATCCTTATTTGTGCGATAATTCCATCCCAACTCTATGGTATTGTTCTCGCAAGCATCTATATTTTGGCTTTTGTTGAGATGGTGGGTCAGCCCAGGATAGTCTCAAACTTCCTATGTAGCCAAGTCTGGCCTGAATTCCTGACCCTTTAACCTTCACCTTTGGATGGTGAGATTGCAGGCACGTGTCACTACACCTGGCTCAAAACCACTGCTATGCTTGGTTGTTGTTTAGACTTGTTTTATTATTTACTTTGCATATGTGTCTGTGTATGTTTGTGAGTGCAGTAGTCAGAGTAAGCCAGAAGAGGGCATTGGATTCTGAAGCTGGGTCTACAGGTGGTTGTGAACTTTGAAGTGGGTGCTGGGAACCGAACTCCGGTTCCCTGGAAGAGTAAAAAACATGTGTAATCTCTTAGCCATCTCTCCAGGCCCCCAACTCGCCATCTTTAATTTCAAAGGTAATTTTAATTTGTCTTAGAAACTAAAGAGGAGCCAGGGGTGGTGGCTCACGCCTTTAATCCCAGCACTACAGAGGCAGAGGCAGGTGGATCTCGGGTGAGTTCGAGGCCAGCCTGGTCTACAGAGTGAGTTCCAGGACAGCCAGGGCTACACAGAGAAACCCTGTCTCAATAAACAAATAAACAAAACAAAACAAACAAAAAACCAACAACAAAAACAAAACAACAACCACAACAAAAAAGAAGATAATAAGGAGATGAAAACTCTTCACACTGCAGCATCTAGCGCCGTCTCCTGTCTGTGTTCAGAACAAGCCTTTCTCAAATCTTTTTCCTACACACGTCTTACCCAAAACTGGCATAATTGTATTATATTTTATTTTTCCTTTGATATTTAAAATATTTTCCAGTTAGGGTAAGACTTAGCCCAGTTGGCAGGGTCTCCCATACACAAAGCTCTAGGTTGGATATTGGGAGCACTGCATACGTAGGGTGCAGTGGGTACATCTCTGATCCCAGTGCTTGGGAGGTGGAAGGAGGAAGATCAGGAGTTTAAAGTCATCCTTAAACAACCTTTGGAAAAAGTCAGTGCTCTTAACCACTGAGCCATCTCTCGAGCCCACAACCTACTTTTAATAAGGCCAGCCCACAACCTACTTTTAATAAGGGTTTAACCTCTCCTCTAGCCCACCACCCAGCAGAGGTAGTGGAAGAGAAAAGTTATTAGGGTATGGGGGAAGTGGACCTGTTCAGCAATAGTTCTTTGTGGGTGAGCTCCATCTTCTTGGGCAGCAGTTCAGTCCTGTAGCAAACAGCAAATACGGTTCAGCAGTTGCAGACCAGTCCTCTCCGCAGACTGACACCAGGCATGAACCAGCAGCTGTTGTTCAATCCTGAAGGAACCGTTAAGGTTTGGCTCAGCAACCTGCCTGAGGTGAGGCTGTTGAAGAGGCAAATGGTTGCAGGAACCTCAGGAGCAAAGCAGTTCTTGGGTGAGCGTCTGTCAGTGGCCACATAGCAAGGCAGAGCCAACCAAACCAATGCTCAGTGCTTGTCCCCCACTATCTGTGGAGTCATACTTCCACTCCATCAAGCGTCTGCTTCAAGGAAACATTCTTTCACGTGTTTGCTTTAGCAAGACATCTTTTCATCTGTGTGCCCAGCAAAACATCATTTGACATAACTAACTTTCCAAAGAAACTAGAAGTTTCTGCTTCAGAACCCAGAGCTGGAGAAATGGCTCAGCAGGTGAGGGGTCCTGCAAAAGCATGAGATCTGAGTAAGAAGCTGAGCATGGGGGCTGGAGAGATGGCTCAACAGTTAAGAGCACTGACTGCTCTTCCAGAGGTCCTGAGTTCAATTCCCAGCAACCACATGGTGGCTCACAACCATCTGTAATGGGATCTGATGCCCTCTTCTGGTGTGTCTGAAGATAGAAACAATGTACTCATATACATAAAATAAATGAATCTTTAGAAGAAGAAGAAGAGGAGGAGGAGGAGGAGGAGGAGGAGGAGGAGGAGGAGGAGGAGGAGCATGGACCAGTATGCATGTGTCTCCCAATTGCTGTGGGGGATGGAGACAGGAGGCTCACTGGGGCTAGCTGGCAGCAGCCTGTCAGCCTACCTCCAAGTTCAGTGAGGTACCTTGTCTCAGAAAATAAGGTGAAGGTGATAGAGGGAGACATTTTGCTCCTTCCTCTGGCCTTTGCAGCTGCATGGATGCTCACCCCTGCGTGTGCGCACACCCACCCACACATACACACACCACACAAAAAAATCATAATTTTTTTAGTAGAGCAAGAAGCTTCTTTGGATGCCTTTGAGACTACCATTCGTTGGGAAGTAACAACTGTTTGAGGCCTGAGCCCTTCAGGCTCCCTTCGTGAGTGTCTGTAGAGATGTGAGTGTCTGCTCTTGGCCTTTGCGTGTGTGAACAGGCTGTCAGACTGCACGGCGTGGTGCCGGGCTGCTCGGCCTCTCAGGCTCTGTACCATTTGGAGGTCTTTCCAGGTTGGTGCACATGGTTCTGCAGAAGTTCTGCCTTTCCTGACCCTGCGTCAGAGCTGTGTCTAGCTGTATTTGTCACGGCTGTGGGCGCAGTGATGAGCGGATGAGCCGGGGCTTCCTTTCCTTGTTTTCAGCCATTGGAGGGTTCTGAGAGCTGTCATTCAGCCTCACTTTGCCTGATGACCCAAGCAAGTGCCTTCACCTTCCGGGATGTCACGCGGGTGTTAATAATCCTTCCCCCGTGGGGGGGGGGGGGGGTTGGTGAGGAGTCACTGTGCTGACACATTTGCCATTTAATTCGATGCTTGTGACAAGAACTACGCAGTTTTGTTGTGCAGGCAGGGATGCTGTGGAGAGGTTTCTGGTACATCTGGCTTCTCCCCACTTCAGACAACTTCCTTGGATCAAACGCTAGGGTTGGGGTTCTTAGGGTCACAACGTTTTCGGGGGTGGGGGGCTTGTCGGAGTGCTGTGTCGTAACCAGGTTTCCTGCCTGGCTTGGCTGGATGCAACCCACGATTGCGTGTCGCTCTGAGCATCATTCTGGATACTGCAGCTCAGCCTACCATCCCACAGCTGCCCAAACAACCCGTTTCCATGGAAACCGGTGCCAGCTGCAGGAGAAGAATTGGGGCTGGGTTGTGACAGGGACGGGCAGTGGGTGGTTGAAGACAAGCCTAGTGGGGTGTGGGCAAGCATGGGCACTGAGCCCAGCTAGTCATCTGCCAGAGCCCTTGGGGGACCCCACAACTTTTTGCTGGAGGCTGCCTGAGTGGAAGTAGAGCCAGACTGCAGAGTTCAAGGTCAGGTTCTAGGTACACAAAGACTTCAGGCAGAGCTTTTCCTCTCTGAGTCGTATTTGTCTCCTCTGTGAAATAGACAGCATCCACTCAGCCCGAGGACCACCCAGCTCTAACAGGAGAGCTTAGCATGTTGTATTCTACCTTAAAACTGGGAGTCTTGGCGGGGGAAGGGTGAAGATGCCACCCTTCCTTCATCTTGAGTTCTGCAGTACTCAGAGAGGTCAGGAGCTTCTCTGGGGATGGAGTAGGAGGATGGGGAGGGTGGCCCTGCAAGTTTGCCCTCTTCCCTGGGGATGCCGTCATAGCTCCTCTGGCCTGACCCAGACACCCAGGAACAAG